CTGGGAAAAAAAAACATGAAAAAATTAAAAGTTATATATCCATCAAAACATTGATAATGGACGTGGACGTGTACTTAACAAAATATTTGTGAAGGACATTTTTTTTTGTCTTATATATATGTGAGAGATAAGATTGGCACTCACATGAGCAGCAAGCACGAAGGGAAGAAAATCCAATATTGCTTTAAGCCATCTTCCTATTCCAGTTTCCATGTCAGGACACCGCTTGAGAAGTCCGTACGTGCGATAAACCCGTAGTATATATTGGGCCGGAATGAAGAACATTAGAAGAAAAAAACTATTAAAGCTTGAATATCGTCCAGCAATAATTATTACCTGCACACATTAATTATACAATGATTTATATATGTGTATATACACACACACACACACATGAAAAGCATCTTCTCTTACCTGCGGAAAGGGAAGAGCAACATACGCACGAGGTAGAAAGGGTAACAGCTTAAGGATGGTTCCCTTAACTGTTGTTTCCCTTTTTTCTGAGGAGGCCCCAAATGCCTTAGCATTATTACCATTCCGCTGACACCAGAAGATGACAATGTCCATTGCATAAAAGAGATCTAGGGCTGATCGTAAAACAAAAAATTCCCACATCAAGCTTTCATCCCAATAGTAGCACATGTCATCCCCCTCCTTCATGACAGGAATGTAAGGGTACACAGGATCAAGGAAGACAGCAAGTGCACATGATACCGCAAATACTGTCTCCCACTTTGGAAGGAATAATATTGCTGGCCATTTTGATCTTCCCTTTTTGGCTGCTCCACCTTCATTACCAGATTCCCCCTCTACGTTCCGATCTTCAATACTAAACAAGACACGCAAATAAGCATATATTCAAGTCCTATTGTTTGATACAACAATAACATTTTGTTTGAAAGGTAAGAAACGAGACACAAATTAGCAACTTTTCCTTCTTATATTTCCTTGCTGTTGCTTGCTTGTGCTCTAAATATCTTAAATTATATTTTTACCACATTTTAAACACTAATATATGGGAGCATTTTTACTTACCACTTTAACTTAATGCATAACATCACCACCAGTCTCAAAACCTTCGATAGGCAGGGACACATAGCCACTAAGGGAGCAAATTATTTGAGGGATCTCAATGGAAGGGGATTGCATATGTATATTAATAAATTTTTATGATACTTTTAATATATTTCAAGAATCTCATTTTCACATCTACATTTTGAAGGAAGTTGATGTTTCACCCAAAAACCAATTGGCAATGGGGGAATAACGAACTCTTTATAAGCCCTTACTAGGTTTCTCAACTTTTCAATATGGGACATTTTCACCTTCGCATTCTCACATATTTTCCTACATAATAATAATAATATTATTATTATATATTTTTTTAAAACACAAATCCTTAAAATGTAAGTCTTTTTCACCTATTTCTCTCTTTCTTTTTTTTAATGGACACAACATACTTTCCTCCTTGCCTTTACAATCATGTTTATGACTTTTGTTAATTCTCCATATAATATAATATCAAGTTTCTATTAACTGTACTCACTTAATTAAGGTTTGTTAAATTTTCTATTATTTTTTAATTTTTTTCTCTCCACCTATGGCTTGTTTGGTTTTGTGACATTTTGATTTATTCTCACAAAAAATATTTACAACTTTTTTCCTTTTGTAATCTACACAAATTGACAGGCGACATTATATCTTCGATCCTGCTCAAAATATATATTCTAAGGATATCATTATTATATTTATGATGTCTTGGTCCTCGTGGTTACTTTGGCATGTATTGTGAGCATTTTTTTGTGGGAGACCCCCTCATACATAAAATCCTTTGATTCCACCACTGTCAATATGTATAACCATATATGTAATTCTCTCTTTTTTAAAAACTAAATAAATAAATGATAGATGAAAAGAAAACCATCTCAAACTCCGGGCACTCCTTTGCCAGCCCCCGATCTTCAAATCCCTGCCAAACACCCTCTATTCCGCTCCTTGCCCATCGATTCCCTCTTTCTTCGAACTACCCCAAGCCACAGCCATCCAAACAAGATCCCCTGTTAGTGGCTGGGAATTTGAGACCCTTTTTTTATTGAATTATTTACACTAACACCCCCATGAGGTTTTCAGTGTTCTCACAAAATCCCTTGAGGTTTCAAAAACGACATGAACACCAACTGAGGTTTCAAATTGTTTTTATAAAATCCCCTTTTCTTGATTATTCATCCAAAAACTAATGATTTCATTTAAAAAAAATTATGCAAATCAACCGCAATTTTGTGCAATATGACTGCAAAGGCCAACTTTATCCTTTGGAGAAATTTTTTTACAAATTTATAAATAAACCCAATCCTAGACATGTATTCATAAAAAACCCCAAACACTATTTAAAAATAGAAACACACCCAAAATCAACCCAAAAATCAACAATTGTATATTTTTTGGGTGTGTTTATAAATGGGTTTCGAGTGTGTGTAATGATGGGTTTTGGGTGTGTTTATAAAGTGTTTTGGGTGTTGGGTTTTTTTTATAATTTCAGCCCCTATTGTGGGTGTTTTAGTGAAACTCCCAAATTTTTTATATATAAAATCTTCAATTTTGGACAAATAATCAAAGGAAACGGGTTGTGTGAAAACAATTTAAAATTTTAGGGGATGTTCGTGTAATTTCTGAAATCTCATGGGGTTTTGTGAAAAACCCCAAAAGGATTGTTAGTCTATTTTCTTTGTCTAAGTTTTTTTCACTCTCTATAATTAAATTATTTAATTTTAAAAAAATAAAAGAGTTATAAATATAAAAATGTTTCAAGTTTTAAGAATGAAGATGAGAGTAGATATCAGGTTAAAGTGGTGATTACTAATACATGCAACAACATCTTTTTGTCTACTATATATTTCCCTAAAAAGAAAAAACGGAAAAAGTGTTCTGAGAGTTAGAGAAAGAAACTCTGACCTTTCAATCAGGAATCAAAGGGGAGAAAAAATGGCTAACCTTATGGCTGTTGAGTTACGATGATTGGAGTTCGCCATAACTCAAGCTTATTAATTGATTGAATGTCCTATGAACAATGAGCAGCAGCAAGAAGCATGTGAAAAGCCAGTACCACAAAAGTTGTATATAATTATCAAATTTTAATCTAGCTAAGCCCCCTTCTAACCTGAGACTCAAGAGATGATTTATATAAGATGGAGAGAGAGTTTAAAAAAAGTAGATTCCAGATTACCACTACTTACACCTGATCAAATTTATACAGGCAAAAAGAGAGAGAGAGAGAGAGAGAGAGAGAGAGTGCGTCTTTTGGAAAAAAAAAAAAACAAAAAACAAAAGGGAAGATAAATGTCTGAATTATTGTTGTATGGCCCAATAAGGTAGGAGTGCTGTCAAAAGAATTATTGTTACTAAAAAGATGAAATAATTTTGTTTCCAGTATGCTTTCTGCTTTATTAAGTCTGTCTTCGTTCGTGCACAGTTGAGCCTTCGTGATAGAGGCTTCATCATTGTCCTGGTTTGAACATTGATTAATGTCTCCAAAAACTGACCTCTTTCCCGCAAATGTTTCCACGTGTATCTCTCTTTCCAAATAATTAAAATAAGTTTTTTCTTCTCTGTTTTGCCCCTCTAACAACCATCACATTATAGTGAGAATCCTTACTAACCTGAGACTGAAGAGATGCTGATAGAGGGAGAATTTGGACAGAAGGAAATGAAGTTTTTCAAGCGTGACAATAGACAAGTCTAGAAACTTAAAAGAAAGTATTTCATCTTCTTGTCTTTGGCAAAAAAGATGAAATAATTCTGCTTTATAAAGTTGAGCAGATCTCTCTTACCAAAAAAAAAAAGTTGAGCAACTCTATCTTAAAATTATAAGCGTATAGGAAGCGACGTCTTATAATATGTTTTCATGTAGGGTGGTTTCAATCTACTACTTATAATATGTATGCATGCACATATCAATATGTCATTCATCTATATTAATTATAAAGCGTAAATTAATAATATCATCTAACAATGTAACAATCTTTTTAAAAAAAACTTATGCTTATGCACAAAGTATACAAAGTAAAAAATTTATGCTAGCACCATTATCCTAATCTAGATCCATTGAGCTTTTAAATTACAAAGTAAAATTACGAGAGTGTCAAATATGATTAATCATAACCTAACAGAATGGTTGTTCTGTATCTTTGTTTTGCAAAGTTCCTTTAGTTTATTTCATCAGCATGTCTTATTATTTGCTTCTGAACGTATGGATTTGAGCAAGCAATGCAGAGTCCTAGCTTGACGGATCCTTCTGAGTGCTTAGGATGTCACCTTGAATGCATATATCATGTGTTTGATAATTTGATTGAATGAGTTTTCAGTTTTTGAATTGATTTAGGATGTTTGAGTCTCGTCTGCAAAAAGTAGTATTGGATGACTAGTTCTGGATATTATTCATCTACACTAAGTTTAGTCAAGGTCAGGTATGTGTGCAGTTTGTTTGGCTGATTGTTATTGAGTAATCCTTTGGTACAGTCTATGTATCATAGGCCATCTGATTTCTTGAGCCAAGTCATCTTTAGTTAGATTTCTTCTTCTTCTTTTTTTCCAAAAATGTGCCATCGGCATATAAAAATAAGAACACATCCAAGCGAATCGGAGCTTGGTAACAAACTCTATTTATGCCTTTGATACCAGAGAAAAAAAAAAATAGAAACTATTGAATGAAATATGCAGAATTTAAAATTTAATAATATTCATGTTACACAACTAGAACACACATAGCAATATATACATACATGAAATATAAATAATATACATATTACTTTATATCATAATTTCCCCGAACCAGCCCCAACCTCATATCCAAAAAAATTCCCCAAAGCTATCCCCAAACATAGTTTTATTCTTCGCACGACCCATTAGCATCAGAAAATTACCATCCCTATACAATAAACCTCATCCATCACATTACTATGAAGAAAAATAAAATAAGGAAGACCAAATCCAAAATACCAAATTTAGAAAGCAATGAAAGCTGCAAGAACCGAAAGCAAAACAGAGAACAAAACCACGTTTCCTGCACTCCCAATCCTCAAAGCCCCTCCTGCACTACTACCACCACCACTACCACCACCACCACCACTACCAACACCACCACCACTACCACCACCACCACCACTACTACCACCACCACTACCACCACCAAAGCCACCACCACCCATGCCACTAGCGCACGGAAATTTGTTAGTCGTCTTAAAGGGAGGAGCGCCCTTATTGGGAGCGCCCTTATTACTGCACTGGCGATTAACGGGATTATTAGAGCTAATGCTAGGTTTATTGGGATTAATGCTAGTGCCCGTAGTAGTGGACCTAGCTACCAAGGACAAGGTCTGAAAGGACTCCAGGTTGGGGCCGACGATGTCATGTTTGTCGGGGAAACCAGAGTTTTGGTTGACCGCGGGACCCACCTGCCAGACTTGGTTCACGGACTTCTCGTCTTTGGGGACCTTAACGGCGGCGAAGATCTTGAACGTTCCGTCGGAGAACTCGGAGCTGATGTCCCAGATATCAAACGAGAGTTTTCCCGGTACCAAGGAGGTGTATGAGCTGATGTTGAAGGTTTTGACGGTTGGGATCCCACTATCTGTGTTGTAGGCCAAGAGTATCTGTGCCCCAGCCATCTTGGTGGAGGTGGGGTTGATGCCCCACGCTACCCAGCCGTCAGATTGGGGGGGTGTAGAGACGAAGGCGATGGACAGAGAGGAGTTGGAGGTATCGTAGGTCCAGTGGAGGTAGGAGCTGAGGACGGGGAGGTCGATGCAGCTGGAGTAGAGATTGCTGTTATTGAATACCTGGGAGGTGCAGGTGTCTGCTTGTGCTGGTGAGACTAGCAGAGCCAGGAAGGAAGAGAACCATGAAACTGACACAAGAAGAAGAAGAGAGGAAGCCATTGGGGAGAGAGAGAGAGAGAGAGAATTTGGACAGACCGAAGAAAGGATAAATGTCTTTAGCAAAAGCTAAAGAGAAGATAAATGTCTGAATTCAATTATGGCCCATAGAAGTTGGAGTGTTGCCAAAAGAATTAGAGTGCTGTTTATTATTTCCATTCTTTTAATTTCTTGCCCATTTAACTTGCATTCATGTTATTATAGTCTTGATTGGTTCTTAGTTTAAATTGAATCAATGGTATTTTAGGAATAATGATGTAAGAAAAGATAAGATTATTATAAATTTTTTAATTTACATGATAGATTAGAAGTAGAAAAATAAAATTCGAGAGAAGGATTATTGTCTTTCTGCTTGATTAATTATATATGCTTTCTGCTTGATTAATTAGTCACTCTTTGCGTTTGTGCATAGTTCAGACCTGACTCATGGATTGTACTTTTTATGATTGCCCTGGTCTGAACTTTGAACAATGATTGATGTCCCCAATTGTTTTATGGCATGTTAAAAGCTAATTAGAGTTAAATATGTTTGTGGGAAAACTAACATTTAGATATAATTCTCCCTCAAGTGTTTCCACGTGTATCTCGCTTTCCAAAGAATTAAAATAAGTTTTTTTCTTCTTCTCTGTTTTGCCCCTCTAACAACCATCAAATTTTAGTGAGAATCCTTACTAACCTGAGACTGAAGAGATACTGATAGAGGGAGAATTTGGAGAGAACGAAATGGAGTTTTTCAAGCGTGACAATAGACAAGTCTAAAAAACTAAAAGAAAGTATTTCATATTCTATGGCTCAATGAAAGTTGGAGTGGTGGTGTTGTCTTTGGCCGAAAAGATTAAATAATTCTGCTTTATCCTAAAAACAGAATGTGGGGCGGTTTCCAAGCTCATTTGCATTCATCCTTTCCTGTTGTCGAATGTGGGGCGGTTTCAATCTACTTTATAACAAGAATGCATGCACATACGATATATCAATATAATTCCCAACATAATATCCATAAATCTCCCTAAACGCATACCCGTATCTAATTTTATCTTTCATATCCGACCTAGAACATACTCGTATAACAACTATTGCCTAAAGGTCAAATGACACTTTTTAAATGTTTTTAGTAAGCAAATAAGGCTTTTTTGGTATTGTCATTATTCAAAGGTGTTACTGCAAAAAAAATTAGCCTTTGTTTTTTGGGTCACAATATCATTACATAAGAAGAAACCTAGTGGCTTGTACAAAGCCAAAACAAGGAAAACATATAGAAATGGGCCGAGGCCAAAGAAAAACACTTTAAAAAACTCAAAACAAGTTACAACTACTCCAAAACGACAATACATTATTGCGTGTTACAAGGTCCAAAACAAATACAAGTATGGTATTAATTATCTCACAATAAGAAATAACACACCTGGGGTCCTTTAGGAATAATCTTTTAACAGAACTGACTCATTTAGAGAATCTCTAAGAATATGTCATTTTTGACATATCTCTTTCCGTCTTCGAATTCATGTAAGATTTAATTATTCGGTTGGAGCAACTTTAACCTTTAATTTTTGTCATTTCAAATTCATGTGGCAATTTGACATATCGGTTGGGAATGCTCTAAGATAAAGAAATTTCATGACACAAGGAAGAAATGATGGGTTTAAAACTTTGCATGAAATTCTATATATATATAAAACTAATTGGTAGTGTTAGAATATAAGAACGTTTTAAAAAAAAAAAAAATCAGAAATATATGCTAGCACCATTATCCTAATCTAGATCCATTGAGCTTTTAAATTACGAAGTAAAATTATAAGAGTGTCAAATATGATTAATCATAACCAAACAGAATGGTTGTTCTGTATTTTTGTTTTGCAAAGTTCCTTTAGTTTATTTTATCAGCAGGTCTTATTATTTGCTTCTGAATGTATGGATTTGAGCACACACTTGAATCACCTTAGTTGTTGCTAGCAATACGGAGTCCTACCTTGACGGATCCTTCTTAGTGCACATGTGTTTGATAATTTGATTGAATGAGTTTTCAGTTTCTGAATTGATTTAGGATGTTTGTGTCTCGTCTGCAAAAAGTAGTATTGGATGACTAGTTCTGAATGCAAAAGGTTTAGTTAAAGTCAGGTATGTGTGCAGTTTGTTTGGTTGATTGTTATTGGGTTATCCTTTGGTACAGTCTATGTATCGTAGGCCATCTGATTTCTTGGGCTAAGTCATCTATCATCTGTTACGTTTTAACTCAGACTCCTTGTTCTCATTGATTCATTATCATTGGTGATTCTGCTGCTTACTCCCACTAAATAAAAGGATTTAACTTAACAAACTCTATTAAACAAGTAACCAAAATCAAAAAAGATTTTGTACTTGCTAATTGTTTCATCTTCAATAATATAATAGGGATGAGAAGATGACCAAGCGAATCGGAGCTTGGTAACAAACTCTATTTATGCCTTTGATACCAGAGAAAAAAAAAATAGAAACTATTGAATGAAATATGCAGAATTTAAAATTTAATAATATTCATGTTACACAACTAGAACACACATAGCAATATATACATACATGAAATATAAATAATATACATATTACTTTATATCATAATTTCCCCGAACCAGCCCCAACCTCATATCCAAAAAATTTCCCCAAAGCTATCCCCAGACATAGTTTTATTCTTCACACGACCCATTAGCATCAGAAAATTACCATCCCTGTACAATAAACCTCATCGATCACATTACTATGAAGAAAAATAAAATTAGAAAGACCAAATCCAAAATACCAAATTTAGAAAGCAATGAGAGCTGCAAGAATCGAAAGCAAAACAGAGAACAAAACCACGTTTCCTCCACTCCCAATCCTCAAAGCCCCTCCTGCAATACCCCCCCACCCCCCCACCCCCCCCCCCCCCCCCCCCCCCTCCCCCCCCCCCCCCCCCCACCACCACTACCACCACCACCACCACTACTACCACCACCATGGTAAATGCCACCACCACCACGGCCACTAGCGGGAGTGCACGTCTTCCCATTGGAAGGAGTGCCCTTATTTGGACTACCGCAGTTGCCAGGATTATAGGGATTATTAATGCTAGAGCCAGGTTTATAGGGATTAATGCTAGTGCCCGTAGTGGTCTCAGCTACCAAGGCCAAGGTCTGAAAGGACTCCAGGTTGGGGCCGACGATGTCATGTTTGTCGGGGAAACCAGAGGTTTGGTTGACCTTGGGCCCCACCTGCCAGACTTGGTTCACAGACTTCTCGTTTTTGGGAACCTTAACGGCGGCGAAGATCTTGAACGTTCCGTCGGAGAACTCGGAGCTGATGTCCCAGATATCAAACGAGAGTTTTCCCGGTACCAAGGAGGTGTATGAGCTGATGTTGAAGGTTTTGACGGTTGGGATCCCACTATCTGTGTTGTAGGCCAAGAGTATCTGTGCCCCAGCCATCTTGGTGGAGGTGGGGTTGATGCCCCACGCTACCCAGCCGTCAGATTGGGGGGGTATAGAGACGAAGGCGATGGACAGAGAGGAGTTGGAGGTATCGTAGGTCCAGTGGAGGTAGGAGCTGAGGACGGGGAGGTCGGTGCAGTTGGAGTAGAGCTTGTTGTTATTGAATGCCTGTGAGGTGCAGGTGGCTGCTTGTGCGGGTGAGACTAGCAGAGCCAGGAAGGAAGAGAACCATGAAACTGACACAAGAAGAAGAAGAGAGGAAGCCATTGGAGAGAGAGAGAGAGTTTGGACTTGGACAAACCGAAGAAAAGATAACTGTCTTTAGCAAAAGCTGAAGAGAAGATAAATGTCTGAAATCAATTATGGCCCAGTGGAGTGTAGCCAAAAGAGTTAGAGAGCTTGTTGTATATAAATATCAAATTTTAATCTAGCTAGTCCTAGTGAGAAGCCCTCTGCTAACCTGAGCCTCAAGAGATGATTCATATAAGAGAGAGAGAGAGAGAGAGAGAGAGAGAGAGAGGCCCTCTGTTAAAAAAAAAATGTACATTCCAAATTACCAGTACTTACACCTGATCAAATTTCTATGGTTCGTTTAAATTGGGAAGTAGCTTAATTTATACATAGAGAGAGAGCGTGTGTGTGTATGTGTGTTTTTTTGGCAAAAAATCAAAAGGGAAGATAAATGTCTGAATTTATATTTCAAGTATGGCCCAATAAAGTTGGAGTGTTGTCAAAAGAAATATTGTTAATAAAAAGATGAAATAAAGCGGGCACTATGCTTTCTGTTTTATTAAATCAGTCTTGGTGCACAGTTAAGTCTTGGTGCACAGTTGTGGCCAAAAAGATGAAATAATTTATACAGGGAGACACAGAGAGAGTGTGTGCGCGCGTCTTTTGGAAAAAAAACAAATGTGTGAATTTATATTTCAAGTATGGCCCAATATGTTGGAGTATTGTCAAAATAATTATTGTTAATAAAAAGATGAAATAATTTTGCTTCCATTGTGCCTTCTGCTTTGTTAAGTCGGTCTTGGTGCACAGTTGAGGCTTAATGATAAAGCGTAAATTAATAATATCATCTAACAATGTAACAATCTTATTAAAAAATTTATGCTTATGCGCAAAGTAAAATTACAAAGTAAAAAATTTATGCTAGCACCATTATCCTAATCTAGATCCATTGAGCTTTTAAATTACAAAGTAAAATTACGAGAGTGTCAAATATGATTAATCATAACCTAACAGAATGGTTGTTCTGTATCTTTGTTTTGCAAAGTTCCTTTAGTCTTTATTTCATCCGCGCATGTCTTATTATTTGCTTTTGAATGTATGGATTTGAGCACACCCTTGAATCACCTTAGTTGTTGCTAGCAATATGGAGTCTTAGCGTGAGGGATCCTTCTTAGTGCCTCAGATGTCACTTTGAATGCATATGCCATGGTGATTCTATTGCTTACTCCGTTGGCTATGTGATAGGGTGACATTTTAGTTAGATACATTTCTTTTCTTTCAAAAATGTGCATTGGCATATAAATAAGAACACATCGATCCCACTAAAAAAAAGGATTTAACTTAACAAACTCTATTAAACAAGTAACTAAAATCAAAAAAGATTTTGGACAGACCGAAGAAAGGATAAATGT